ATCAAAGCATGAGGCAAGCAGCAAGAAGTCTATTACCACGTACAGATGTACACTTTAAACCATGATATAAATAGAGGACTTGATTCCAGAGTAGCTGAATTTTGTAAAGGAGACAGCATAGGTAATAAAAGCAGTGTATTTATCAGAGATTTGTCCTTGACCTTGTTACCTCTTGACTGCTGGCTGAGTTTTTAGAAAATTTATTTCTTTGCCTTGGGTAAAATTCTAACAGACATTTGATTTCATTGCCCTATGAGAAAAGTACAAAAACGTTTGTTGAGCACTCAACCATCAATAGCCACCCTTGGAGAATGAGCACAAATTTGGAGATATTCAGATATTATGATAGAATAACACCAAGGAAGAACTGAGTAGATCAACAGTGAAAGCTGCATAGAATCCAGGAGATTAGGATCAAATCCTAGCAAAATCTTGTTTTCACAGAGAATTGACACAATTTTCTAGGCTGACTTTTTTTAAAAATAGCTATGTCACAACGCTTGCATTTCATGAAGATATATAAAGAAAAGGAAGGTTCTAACAAGTTTTTTAGTTTTATGAATATATGTATCATCGTTCATCATCATTTTAGCCATTGTCTATCACTGCAGAATGAAGGCCTCTTCCCCATGTTTCTAATCCATACGGTCCTGAACTTTCTTTTGTCAGTTGGACACAAAATACTTGTTGATGTCATTGATCCATCTTGTTTTAGGTCTCTTTTGTGGAAGCTTTTTGTCAAGTGGAATCCATTCTATGACTGCCTTGGTCCATCTGCCACCAGCTCTTCTTGCAATGTGACCAGCCCATTTCCATTCTTTTACTCTCTTGATTGTATCATACACTTTCATTTGTTCTCTAATCCATGTACAGGTCTTTCTATCTTGTCTTGTAATGCCAAGCATGTAACTTTCCATGGCTCTTTGCGCCACTTGTTCAATTTCCTTTATTGTATCACCTTCCATTGAGATCCATTGGTCAAGTGTTCTGATGATTAATTGTTCTAACTGTCAGGAAATTTCTCCTTACTTCTAGATTGCTTCTCTCCTTGATTAGTTTCTATCCATTGCTTCTTGTCCTGCCTTCAGGTGCTTTGGAGAATAGGTTGATACAATCTTCTTGGCCTACTATGTCTAGCTATTCTCTCTCTCTCTCTCTCTCTCTCTCTCTCTCTCTCTCTCTCTCTC